CCCCACCCTCAACTCGAAACCCTGTCAAGACACAGATTTGTGTCTGCTTTCCACCTGACCATCCCCAGTGCCTACAAGGCAGCAGGGGGTCCCTCCGGGTCCTCTTGGGGGCACGGTTCCCACGTGCTATGATGACACCAGCCAGTGGCATGGAGGGTCCCTCTGTGTGATGGAACCCGTGTGTCCACCGATCGCCAGGGAGCCAGCTCCGGGTACCGGGCAAGGACAGACGAGGCTCGCTCGGGTCACCTGTGTGCACGCTCCAGCACTCAGGCGGTGGCTCTCAGGTCTCGGCCTGTGGGTCTCCAAGGGTCCCTGAGGCTGCAGCTGCTTTCCTCATAGTCTGATGATCACGGGGTCTTCACGGGGTCTTCATCGAGCCGATGTGTGCACTGATGTGGCGAGACCCGAGCCCCAGCCCTGGTGCAGCCCTGAGGGGTTTCCCCACCGCACAGCTGCAGTGCAAAACGCCGGTCACTTCCAAATGTCCTTGATGGAGTGAAAACGGTCACGTGTGTGAGGTCTTGACCCCGGAGTCCAAGTCTTTTCAACGTTCTGCCTGAGCAATCGGAAGGCGCGCCTGCCCCACGCCCACGCTGGGGAAATGCAGCTGTGCTGCCATCTGGATCTGGAACACACGTATGGAGCACACTTTTTACTCGAGAAAAGGATGTGCAAAAACTCTGGTTGTTCGGCCTTGGGTGTCCTGACAGACCTTTTTTTTCTTTTTTTGAAAATGAACAAAGTGAGCCTGTGAGCCTGTCTGATTCAAAGAAAATAGCTGACAGCATTTGTTACCAATGATAAAATTCAAGCTTTCATGCAAAAATCAGAATTCTGAAATTCTGTATCCACCACCATGAGCTCATCACCTTTCCAGCTTAAAGACTTTTCTAAGATTGGTGATATCACCAAAAGTGATTTTAAAATGCTGATTGAGGAACTGTGTCAGCATTTGGAATCTCCGCATAACTTAGTGAACCAAAGGCCCAGTGTGTGAGGTCACAGAAGCATGATGGACAGAGTCCATGAAGCACAAGACAGACCAACAGATTCTCCTGAAATGAAGTGGAAGTTCACCGATAGGGTTTCAGATTCCACACACAACCAGCCAGTAAAAAACCACCACCTGTGGACCAGGCGCAGTGGCTCACGCCTGTAATCCCAGCACTTTGGGAGGCCAAGGCAGGAGGATCACAAGGTCAGGAGATCGAGACCATCCTGGCTAACACGGTGAAATCCCGTCTGTAATAAAAATGCAGAAAATTAGCCGGGCGTGGTGGTGGACGCCTGTAGTCCCAGTTACTTGGGAGGCTGAGGAGGGAGAATGGCGTGAACCCGGGAGGCGGAGCTTGCAGTGAGCCGAGATCACGCCACTGCATTCCAGCCTGGGCCACAGAGCAAGACTCCGTCTCAAAAAAAAACAAAAAAAAAAACACCACCTGTCCAGTGTTGGAAGAGGATCAAGGAAGAATATCCCAATTATTTACAAAGGTTATTAAAATGTTCCTTTTCTTTTCAAATACACATCTGGGTAAGGCCTAGATTCTCCATTCACCCCTATACTTCACAACCAAAACACCACCACAGTGGACAGACTGGAGCCTGATGAGAGGCCAGTGGGCTTCTCTTAAGCCAGAGATTTACGACAGTGTAAAACTAGGCCACACTTCTCCCAAAAACTTTTTGTTTTGGAAAATACGTTTTTCATACAGTTGTTATTTATGTTAATATGTTGTGGGTTTATTGCTATTTTGAAATGAATACATGTTTTCCAAAGGTCTCAGGTTTAATTTCTAATAAGGTATTCTAATGTGTATTAATATTGGTCATTAGAACTCACATAAGCAAAAGTTCTTTGGTACTTTTAATAATTTTTTTTTTTTTTTTTGAGATGGAGTCTCGCTCTGTTGCCCAGGCTGGAGTGCAGTGGTGCAATCTCAGCTCACTGCAAGCTCCGCCTCCCGGGTTCACACCATTCTCCTGCCTCAGCCTCCCAAGCCGCTGGGATTACAGGCGCCCACCACCGCGCCCGGCTAAGTTTTGTATTTTTAGTAGAGATGGGGTTTCACCATGTTAGCCAGCATGGTCCCCATCTCCTGACCTCGCGATCCACCTGTCTCGGCCTCCCAAAGTGCTGGGATTACAGGTGTGAGCTACCGTGCCTGGCCCACTTTTAATGATTTTGAAGAGTGTTGAGGGGTCCTCAGTTTGAGGACAGTTGCTGCCGGGTGACCTGTCTAGCAGTGGCACTGCCCAGGGGAGGAAACGTGTTCCTCCAGCTTTAGGAGGGGACACAAATTGTCCCTGGAAGTGGCTATACCACGTCCCACCAGCATCGCAGGAGTCTCCATTTCCCGACGTTCGTCCTGGCCTCCAGCAGCCGCATGATCTCAGTCTGCGGTTCCGACTCCGCGACTCCGAGGGAGGCCGAACGGTCTTCTCACGCTGACTGGCCCTGGACTTTTGGCCCTGTTCTTTCTTCATATGAATGTAAACATCATCGTGTCCACTTCAAAACCAAACAGCGGCATTATTGAGAGTATGGCTGGAATGACAGTCATAAAATGATGACATTGACTTTGGAGCTTTCGGGAGTGTGCTAAGTTTCTCCAGCTCAGTAAGACTGCATAGTTCTCTTCAGTATGGGTCCTGTTCCTTCTGGGTTAAATTCACTCCAACTCTGAATGGGACATTTCTTCATTGTCATTTTCAACAAGTTTCAGCTGGTTTAAAGAGCTCCCAGTCTTTTGTACATTTGGCTTTCTGGGTATACAAAAATGAGATCTGAAAACAAAGGTACCTCTACTTTCTTCATCTCTCATCCTGCGTCTTTTGTTTACGTATCTTAAGGCATCAGCTAAAAATGTGAAAACAACATGAACTACTACAAGCGAAAAGCAGGCGCACCTGCGTGGCTCTCGGTTTTGGTTTTCAGTGTTAACCCGCTGCTTTGCTGGATCTTATCAAATATTTCAGCGATGGCTGAATGAACCAGCAACTAAGGCAGAAATCAGAAGGTTGTTAAGGACACGCTGCTGATGAACGGCACCAACCCCAGGAGATTCCACAGCTGAGTTCTCCCGACCTGAGATGCTGCAGCCTGGAGGAGCACAGGCAGCGCCTGCCCCTTCTCTAAGGTGGTGGAAAGGGGCATGAATCACCGACTCTGATTAGAGTGGGCGAGAAGAAAACAGACCAAAACCACTTCTAACCCAAGCACAGCAGCGCCTCGCGGTGTGCCGTCCCAGATGCCTGGCAGCTACTGCAGTCCCAGTGCGTCATGGCTGACTCTAGAGCGGTTTCAAGGCGAAGAAGTCGCTACATTATTTAGAACCTCCATCTGCTACGTCTCGCGGGAGCGTCCAGCCTAACCTTCCTGCCAGGGCCACGGGCACCCTTCCCTCTCGAGGGCTTGGGGCTGGCTCCCTGGTAAGAGGCTCGGGAACCCCGCACTGGCCCCGTGGGAGCTGCTAGCCAGCCTCAGTGGTCAGCAGCCGGGGGCAGGTGCCTGTGTCATGGCTGGGTTCCCAGCATCTAGGGTGGCACAGGTGCCCAGTGGGAGCCCAGTGTGTTTGTTAAGCAAATGATTTCTTGGGCAGTGTCTTGACGATGAGGTGGGTGGGTCCCTGAGCTGGAAACTGGCCAGAGCAAAAGCTCCCAAAACTCAGGCCCGCATCACTAGATGTGCCCGCATCCTCTGTCCTCCTGGGGCCACCCTTCCTTCTGCTTCTCGGCAGGCGCTGTGGCAACCACACTGGCTTGCAAAGGCCGGCTCTGTGCATCTCTTCCCAACCACAGGGTCAGCGGCGTCATCTGGCATCTGGAAACTGGCACCGCAGTGCTGGCTGCTGCTCCCTCCTCCCACCACTGCTGCCGCTCATTAAACCCTCACGACACTCTGCCTCTCATCCCACAGCAACGTGGGCCGAGTCCTCGTCACACAGGCTCTGGGGAGATCGCTGAGGAGGGTGGGAGCTCCAGGACCCTCAGAGCAAAGTGAATCCTTCTTGCCCAGCTCCCCTCTGGGCGCCACAGAGCACGCCGGCCTCTCCTTCACACAAGCAGGCCTAGGGCATCATCCTCCACACCACCATGGTCCACAGGCTGCTGCCACGCCCAGGGGAGCCCAAGCTACTCCCTTGCCTGGCTGACCTCCAGACCCCCTAGAGGGTTGGATGAGCTGCTGCTGCCTTTCACAGGATGACCACAGCACTGCCTGGCAGGATGCCTGCCTCCACGCCTGCCTCCACGCCTGCCTCTGCACCTGTCTCTGCACCTGTCTCCGCAGCTGTCTCCATGGCCTGCTCACCTGGCAGCCGGAGGGAGATTTTCTGAACCCTGAGTCAAACCATGCTGTCCACCTGCCGACTACCTGCCAAGAACCTTCTATTTGGGCGGCCACTTGCCTAAGTCCAGGAGGTGACTCAAACACACCTGGCCCCAGCCTCCTTGGCAGCCAGGGCAAGAAACGCCCAAGTCCTGGCCAAGGAGGCTTATAGAGAAGTCAACTTTTGGAAAGCTGGAGCTTCTGGAAAGAGTTTGCAACTGGTGGAAGGGCCGGCAGTGAGGTGAGCTTGCAGCTGTGGCTGCTCCACTGCCCCCCTGTCCCCCGCGGATGTCAGACCCAGAGCTGCACTGGCCGAAACACTCCCACTAAGCTTGAAAACCACGAACACTCCTCCCCACGGGCTGCACCGGCCTCCGTGGCCTGGCTGCTGGCGACCAGCCTCCTGGCTGCTCCTGGGGCTTGCTCCAGTGTCCTCTGCCTCTGGGCCTTCACACTGGCGATTCCTTGTGTGGCCACTGTTCCCAGCTCCATGTAAGTCTGGTTCCGTGTCCTCACGCCAACCCCTCCCTTCCAGCACTTATCACAACCTGCAAGCATTTCTCTACTGACCCGTTGGTCTTCCCCGCATGGGAGCATAAGCTCCAAGAGGCCAGGGCCTTTGTGTCATCTACCACGACATCTCCAGAACCCACAACATCCAACAGGGCCGTGCATGCGAGCAGGTGTTACAACTTTTATTAGTGTCATTGCTAAGGAGGCAGTAGAAACACCTGATGCTCCAAACAGAGCTGAATAAAAGCCTCCCGGAAGGCTCCCTGGGGTTTTCATCAGGCGTGGGAGGCCATTTAAGGACAGACGCAGAGGTCCTGGTGAGGGAGGACACAGGTTCCCTTCAGGGCAGAGCTTTCCCCCCAGCTCCAGCCTGCCCCGACCCATTTGCACCTGCTTTCATTTTTGGGATCCATCAATCAGGGCATCCTCACCAAGTCAGCAACAGCAAACCGCGCGGTCCAGGCAAGAATGAAAAAGTATACATTTAATATCAAAGCCATGTCAAGTATTATTGATAATAACGACACTGGAGAGTGGCTCTAGGATGTTCTTACTCAGAGTGAACCCCAGAGGCCCTGGCCTGTGTCTGAGGAAGGGCGTTCATGCTGGAGACTGGAGCCTCACGGTCCCCAGGGCCTGGGGGTTCCTCAAAACACCCCTCGGAAGGGACATCCCGCCAGAGGCCAGGTGGAAGGCGGTCTCCTCTCATGGGGCGGCCCCCTTGCCCGCCTGGCCTGAGTGGCCTGCCCTGGGTGGCCCGGCCCCGCCGCCGCCACCTGCTGGCCTAGACGCTGGACTTGGTGATGATCCTCTCCAGCAGACTCATCATGCGTTCCTGCAGCTGCAGGCTCTGCACCTGCAGGATGTGCTGCTGGTCCAGCACGCGGCGCACCTCGCGGCAGGTCTCCTCCACGGCGCGGCTCAGCCGGCGCTGCTCCTCCACCATGGCCTCCAGCAGCCGCAGCTGCTTCTTCTGCAGGTGGCAGCTCTGCACCTTGCGCTTCTTCACCGGTCGCTCCTCCGACCTGGAAGGACAGCGCCAGCTGTGGACGTGCTGGCCACAGAGCCTGGGCACACCGGGGGCCTCACCGGACCCTCCCAATTATCCTACTAGGCAAATGGGGAAACTGAGGCCCCAGGGAGTCAGGTCACTTACTCGGGGTCTCATATTCCATGTGCAAAGGAGGGGCCAAAACCCGCCCCCTTTGACAGTAAGAAAGTAACAGGGGTGGCCAGGCACGGCAGCTCACACCTGTAATCCCAGCACTTTGGGAGTCTCAGGTAGGTGGATCACCTGAGGTCAGGAGTTCAAGACCAGCCTGGCCAACATGGTGAAACCCCATCTCTGCTAAAAATACAAAAATTAGCCAGGCGTTGTGGCAGGCGCCTGTAATCCCAGCTACTTGGGAGGATGAGGCAGGAGAATCGCTTGAACCTGGGAGGTGGAGGTTGCAGTGAGTCAAGATCATTCCACTGCACTCTGCACAAGAGCGAGACTCCGTCTCAAAAAAAAAAAAAAGAAAAAGAAAAAGAAAATGAAGAGAAAGAGAGGCCACAGGCATTGCCATCCTTTGCAACTAGCAGACGACCCCAAGGACCAGGGTCCCAGGACAATCCACACCCCTTCGGTCTGGAAAGGGCAGGATGTTCTGGGCTGCAGAGGGGCACATCCTGCCAGGGAGCATCCCTCACCCACCGAGCTGGGTAGGTGGGGGCTCAGCCCCAGTTGACGCCCAGGGGTGGAGAGGCTACACCCAGGCAGAGATGAAGGCAGGGGTGGGGGGTGCTGGGTAGTACGGAGAACTCAGGACACCTGTAGGGAAGCCAGAGACCACCAGCTCCACCCGGCCTTAGGCAGATGGGGAAACTGAGGTCCCAGAAGGAAGGGCCTGAGATGTGAGCCCCTTTAATCTCCCGGAGGCCTAGAAATGGGGCCAGCACACCTTGGTAGAGAGGCAGGAGGACAGGCACCTAGAGGGTGTGGGGCCCACAAGAGGCCTGGGCTCTCTCCCCAGACCCTTGGAGCTCTGGTAGAGGTGGCAGGTAAAGGCAGTCCAGCCCTGTGGGCACCTCCTGAGCGCTCTGCTGCTGGGGTAGGGGCCACCCGTGCTCTCAGCAGACCTCCCTGAAGGGCAGAGGGCTGCCAAAACCCACAAACCCCAAGGCCCTGCTCCAGTGCCTGCTCACCCCTGGCCCACGCTCCGCTCTGAGCTGGGAGGGTGCAGCCAACCCCAGGGGCAGGAGCGCAGAGCTTTGGTCCTGATCAGGGAGGGCAGTCCTCACGCCCCAGCCCTGTGCAAGGCCCCAGGCAGCTGGGTCCGGGAACTGGGCTCAGTCCACAGGAACAACAAGCCATAAATCTCAGGCCTCCTGCTGGTTCCTTCTAGCTGCCATGGGTCTTCAATGAGAAATCCTGAGTCAAGCAGCAGCCCCCGGCATGGGAGGTGCCAGCTTGGGGGGACCCTCCTCGGAGACGCCTTCCTCACCCCACCTCCTGTCAGAAAGACTTGAAGACCAGGGCAGGGGAGAAGCTGTGACTTAAATCCACCATCTTCCTGTTCTTGCCTCCAAATGGTCAACTTCTATTTTACCTTGAAAGCCCACCCCAAATGTCCCCTCCTCCAAAGCACCTTCTCTGGGCTCCCCAGGCCCACCCCGCAGGTGTCTGTCCTGCATGCTGCCTGGCTCCCGGCTGCCCTGAGAGCATCTCGCAGGCAGTCACGCGGCCGGCACAGGCGTGGTCTGAAGTGTGGGATGGACGGCAGAGGGGATGGGCCATCCCCACGGCAACACGTGATGAGGCGCAGCCTGACACCCTCCCTAGTGCTAAGGGGCCACCAGCCTGTGAGGGTGGGGTCCGTGTGGGGTGAGGGAGGCCAGGGGGCACATTCTTGGGTCTGGGGCTTGGTCTCCCTCCGTGTGCCGGGCCCCGTGCTGCGTCTTCCCTCCCACAATGCTCCCAGCCACCCTCTGAGAAAGGTACTGATTTATCCCCATTTTATCGGAGGGAGACTGAGGCCAGAGAAGTCAAGGAACTTTCCATGCAGCTCAAAAGTGATGGAGCTGGGAGACGAACTCGGTCTGCCTGTGGACACTAAAGCCCGCCCTAGTCTGAGGCCACCTGTCCCTGGAGGCGCTGCCCACAGCCACGGCCTCTGCAACCACCGCGACCGCCGCCCTCGCCGCTCCCAGTCCCTTTCTCTAAATGGTGGGGGCTGAGACACTCCAGGGCAGGGGAAGGACAAGCAGACACACTACCTGAACTTAAGGGACAGTAAGCTGGAGGAGGTGTCGGAGCGATCGTCCTCGAAGCGGCCTTCGTAGGAGCACTGGTTATACGGGAAGTACAGAGGGGTGGACTTAGCGGGCGGCGACAGGGACGCCTCGGTCTGGGATGTGGAGGGCCCCGGCGGCTGGCTGTCCGGCAGTTTGCCATCACAGGACTCGGGGACCTTGGCCAGAATCCCATCAATGGCTAGGTAATAGGGCCAGTCGGGCGGGGCGGACTCGCTATCTGTCATGCATTTTAATTTCCTGAAACGAGAGACACAAGAGCCAAGGGTGAGAAACAGAGCTGGCCCAGCCCCTGTCCTGCCCAGCCTCAGCAGAGGGGCGCACCGCGCCGGCACAGGCCGGAGCCGCTCTCAGCCAGCAAGGGCCTCCCCAGCAAAATCGGCCAGGCTCCAGGGTCAAGATGACATTGGACTTAGAAAGAAGCCAGGCTTCAGGACCTAAACGGGCTCAGATGTTAAAAAGGAAGCACGCGTCCCAGTATTACTAAGGTTACCTGTGCATGCTGGGAACTTGGGGCTGGTCCTATTGCTTTTTCCTCACTTTTCTGTAGTTTCTAGACTCTCTGCAATGAGCAAATACTGCTTTTTAAATAAGTCATTTTGAAAGGTAGAGTAATAAGGTATTATTGTATTAATAAGGTATTATAAGATATATAAGTATAGCGATAATATTTTGTAATAGAATAACTGTGCTGTTCGGGAGAGAATGCCTCAGGGAGCAACAGCCACTGGCGTTAGAGCACAGGCTTCAGTGTCCACAGCCCTGAGTCAGTATCTCATCTCCACACTTTGCTGTGTGACCTTGAGCAGGTTCATTCACCTCTCTGAGCCTCTATTTTTAGATCAATGACATGGGGATGATCGAAGTAAGCCCCTCCCCCAGATGCAGGGCAGATTTAATAAAGCAAACAGCAGGCTGGGCTCCCATGCCATTCTTGGTTGAACCTACAGTCTGGGCAGGAGCCTAGATCCAGCGCTACAACCTGCGACCTGCCCAGAGGCCCTGGGGTGGGCCGGATGGGCCCCTTCCCACACTGCCTGATGCCTCATTACCACTGGGACCCCCTGCGCCCACCTACTCCCACAGACAGGTCCTGCCCTCTGAGAGGCTAAGTCCCCAGGCCTCCCCTGGGCCTCTGGGAGGTCAAGGCAGGGGAGACAGGGCCCCAGGGCGGCCAGACAGCTCTGGCCAGGCCAGGAAAGAAGCCACAAGGTGGGGGGGAGGCAGGGGTCTCTGCCTCATCAGACCCAGTACCTCCTAAGGCCCAGAGCCCACCCCCTACTCTGCCTTTGGACAGAGTGCCCTGAGGCCGGGCTCCAAACCCACCCTGTGCTCAGAGTGGGCATCTCCTCTCTCCTACTCTTGTTACCTGCCAGGATGTAGCTACTGGTCCCTGGAAACAATAAGCTGGCTTCTGAATGAGGTGCCCCCAGCAAACAGACACAGCCAGATGGTGAGCAGGGGCTGCTGCCCAAGGTGGCACGTGGCTGCGAAGACACCAGCACAGAGCGTGTGGGGCCGGGCACTGGGCGCCCATCCCTAACCTCTGCCCCAGGTTTCTCTCTCTGCCCTACTTGAGCCAGCCCACTCTTTGGAGAGACAAGAAAAGGCCGATTCTCAGCATAGGAGGCCCCCAACTGTACTCCAACAAACTACTCTCCACAGAACCAGCCACCCTCTCAGGCTTCTTCAGCCCAACAGCCTTAATATATAAAGAGCTCTTGTAAAACAAACAAAAAAAAATGACAAAAGCCTCTGCTATGGGGAGGCTGGGGGTATAAAGAAAAAGGACAAAGATCGAGTCACCCAGCCACAGCTCCCTCTGCTAAGGATTGTGTGGCCTTGGGCAAGTCCTCTCATGCTCTGGGCCTCAGCTTCTCCCTCGGTGAACGAAGGCTGACTGTGGCAGCTCTGAGGGGCTGCCATGTGCTTCATCAACCGTGATGTGCTGTGCACCGGCGCAGCCCTTGGCCCGCCAGACTGCAGGGTCTGGAGTGGAGGCCCCCACTCTGCTGCACCCTCATCTCCCGGCCTCCAGGAATGGAGACAGAAGCCCTCCCCTGGGACTCTGAAGAGGCTTTCAGCATAAATAATGAATAACCTGGCCAGACACCAACCAGAGCCAGCCGGGGAGGCGGTGCCCGTGAATTCCTGAGTCAGAGGGGAGCCACCTCCCACCGCCCTCTGTGTCCCTTCCTCACCAGGTCCCTGAGCAGGGCTAGGAGGCCACGGGAACGGTGGGGCCGCGGGAACAGTGGGACCGTGGGCAGCTGCCTGCGTCCACTGAGCCTCTGAAGATACCCAGGCTCACACCTCAGCCCTCACGTCGCAAGCCAGCCGCTCAAACCCAACATCCGTCACGTTCAGCACCCTAGGTCCCGGCTTTGGGGCCTGACTAGGGGCCTTTGGGCAGGGCCAGGCCCCGGACCCCTCCTTCGAGGCTCAGAAAAAATCAAATCAATACAACTGAAAGCAGAGACCCCACAGCCTGGCGGTCTGTCTGGGGCCTCGCTGGGCCTCTTCCCTGCTCCCACCAGGGCCGGGGACTGGGGCTCCCCTTCTGCTGTGCTGGAGGCTGGCTCCTCGCCTGCGGGGGCAGTGGGGGTTGCCTCTCCCACAAGTGGCTCAGGTGCTGCCAGCCTCTCTGCCCCGGGCTCACCTGCCTGACCCGGAGGTGGAGCAGCCCCTCCCATCCTGGAAGCTGGCAGGCTCTCCGGTAGCCCCAGGCCCAGCCCCGTCCAGGCCGTCCACAGGGCCGGGTGCTCTAGGCCGCCATTCTCCCCCTGCGGCTTCCAGCTCTTGCTGCCACCCTCGCTCTGTGCAAGACCCTCCCCACACCCAAAACCATCACCCCACACCTGTGACCTTCACCGCACACCCATGACCTTCACACCCTGCAAGACCCACACCGTAGCTGTGACCCCACCTGTGCCTGACACCTTCACCCCACCATGACCCCCGCCCACCCGTGACCCCATCCTAATGGGCTGGGGACCCACACACTTTAAGATGGTGGGTGTGTAGGACCATAGCTGTCCCCTCCTCCGAGGTGCCAGTGCCTCCTTGGCTGGGTGGTCCCCTCGGGCCTTCCCTGCAGGTTGCCCGGGCAGGAAGGGCCCACCTGCTGTGTGGCGGGAGCAGAGGTGGGGCCAGGCCGGGAGCCCCCACGCTGGGAGTCCTGGGCCAGGGCAGGGCTCCATCTCTTTCTTCTTCACACAGTAAGCCCTGCCCACGCGCTGGCCGGTCCTGTGCCTCACCTGGTGATTTCTGGGAACACCCCCCTCAACCCTAGGGCCAGCCCCAGTGGGGTTCATGGGCTCATGGCAGAGGCTCCGTGGATGTTCCACGTCGCAGAGCACGGAGCCTCCTTCTCACTTGCAGTCTGGATTCCCCAGTCACAGTAGGCCCCTGAAACCCCTGCTGAGCTTGGGAGCCTGGTGGCGGGGAGCCGCGGCCTCCCTATGGGAAAGGAGGGTGTGAGGTCAGTGAGCACCACCATGAGTGATGCTGCCTCCGAGGGACAGTGCCCAGACCGGCCATACGTCCTGGGAGCCATCCTGGCCTCTGCCCAGTACCAGCCCCACCCCTGCCATCCTTCAGTTCTTAGACCGGCTTCCTGCCCTTGCTGGGCCTCAGTTTCCTCACTTCCCCAATGGAAGGCTGCACACACGGTTTCCGTGCGCCCCGTCTCACCCCGTGGGATTCTGCCCATACCCGGCCAGAGGAGACCGACAGGCAGGCCAGGACCCACACACCCTCCCGAGTCAGAGCTCTGAGAGAGCCAGGAGCGGCCACCACGCCCGGTGCCGCCTGTCCTGGGGGGCCCACACTGCGCGCGCGCCCACCTGTACTGGAAGGTCATGTTGGTGATCTTGATCTTGATCTCCTCGCCCAGCCTGCGCTCGCCGGTCATCTCGAAGAGCTTGCTGGCCATCTTCTCGTACACCTTGGCGTTGCGCTTGGTCTGCTTGAGCTCGTCGAAGAACTCCTCCCAGACCAGCATGAGGCCGCGCATCTCGGCGTCGGTCCAGTTGCGGGCCCGCCGGTGCTTCTCCGCCTGGGGAGACACCAGGTAGCCGGGCCCCTCGGCCGCCGCCATGCTCCAGGCGCCTGGGGGGTGAGAGAGCGGCTCAGCGAGGCCCCCGGCCCGGCCCCACGCACCATGGGCGGGAGGCGCCGCTCACGCTCGCTCGAAGGCAGCTCCACGCTCAAAATGGGGCCTACATCTGACAGGCAGGAATTTAGTTAAAAGCTTTTAAACGGGAAACGTCATTTTGATGTCACGTTTCCATAGCAACAGAGCAACTGCATAAGCTACAACAACAGAAACCTTTTAACTGAAAGCCCAGGAATCAGGGCCGCACTGACGGGCCATCAATATTGCAGCGAGAGGTCCAGGCCCAAACCCAGCGGCCCGGCTCCCAGCCCTGCCTCCCACCGCCGTCCAGGCGATGGGCCCCCAGTTCAGTGCCGTCCCGGCTCACGCAGGCCAAGAGGGGGACTTGGGTGGGACCAGGCAAGGAGAAAAGGGGCAAAAGGTGGGAGAAACAGAAAGGTGAGGAGATGAGGAGGCTGAGTCCCCCAATGCTGGCCACTGGCCCTGGCGGGAGTCCTGGGCTGTGGGACCTTAAGCTCCCTCAGAAGGCCTCTGCCAGGCTGAAATGGGGCTGGGCCCCGGGACCCCTGGTCTCCTGGTCCTGGGGTCCTAGGGCTGGGCCCTCACAAGAACCCCACATCCCCACCCTTTGCTCCTTTTGCTTCTCTTGCTCCAGCACCCAGGCGCCCTGGGCCTCAGGTCCGTGGACACTGGAAGCCCAGATTGGTCAGAGCCAGGCCCTGCCCAGAGGTGCAGTCACAGGGTATACAGACACAGGCCTCTGGCACCGGCTGGCGAGGATAGCAGGGACGGCAAAGGTGAGCTCTGTTTGAGACACAGGAGGGAATCAGCCCAGCAAGCCAGGGGGAGGCCACAGGGCACTCCTGGGAGGAGCCATGGGCATGGCAGGGCACAGCCTGGGTATGCAGGGAGCTGATGGGCAGCCAGATTCCGCACGGCATGTGGAGATGGGGCTCGAGGCCCAGGCTGCGGAGCGGGCCCTGAGGGACTGAGATGCCCCCAGGCTTCTAGGGGACCACAGCCTGCCGAGAGCCCCAGGTGCAGCGGAATAGGAGCGTGTGGCCTGGGGGTTCTGCTCAGAGAAGTGCCCGCCTAAAGGCATCAGCACCCGAAACGTAACACTCGCAAGTCTGGCAGGGCTCTGTGGAGCCCACGGCACCTGTGCAGGATGGGCCGTGCTGGACGCGGTACCCAGGCTAAACGCCACTGTGGTCAGCAGAGGGACAGCGGGCACCCCCCTGCCCTCCTCAGGCCTGACCAACTGCAGGAGACTCTCAGGTGGGGGCTGCCGCAGGAAGGGCAGCTGAGCCTGGAGTGGGGAGGCATCTCAGCCTCTGCCCCTGCCCCTGCTGATCTCTGAGGCACCTTGGAGGTGGAACTAAGGTTCTCAGAGGAAGGACAGGGCAGGGGTGTGGCAGGGGTGCCTGGCCCCACTGTGGGTGCCCAGCATGGGGAGGGTGACCTGGGGCTCCCTCTTGCCCGCAGTCAGGATAGGAAAGTGTATGGGGAGGGCCCCAGGGATGTGTGAGGGACTCAGAGGGGTCTCTGCACCCCTACCCCGGGTTCCTGGTCCAGGCCTGGCCCTACTATCAGCTCTGTGAGACTAGTCCAGCCCCTTCCATTTGGGCTCTGGAGACATCATCCCTACTGCCTGGCACGGGGCATGGGAGGGGCCCACAAGGCCCCCTCTGCTAAGCTCAGCCCTCGGTGCTGGGGGCTGGCACAGAGAGCTCTGTGGAGTACCTGCAGATGGAGTGACTAGAAGGCCCACCTCCTCTAGGAAGCCCTGGCTGCTCAGGAACAGGGTTCGGCCCTTTCCAGTGAGGTCGGAGACCTGTCCGAATGCCCTTTCCGTAGCCATGACTCCAAGCACAGAGGTGGGGCTGGCTCCCAGCATCTCTTGGCATCTCCCGGCACAAGGGGTATGCAGAAAGTCATGGGGTCCCAGCAGTGGGTTCTGGGTGCAGCTCTAGCGACTCAGCATGGACCTTAGTCATGTCCTCCCCCTAGCCTGTTTCCTCACCTCTACAACAGGGGTAACAGGATCTGACTATCTCACCCAGCACGGTGCTGGCTAAGGGGGCACAGCCCTCCCAGAACCCTGCCCCCTACCCCCTTCCACAAATCCACTTGGAGCTGCTGGAGACAGCGTCAGGCCTACTGTCCTGGCTGAAGGGGGAGCTGCTGGCCAGTGGGCACCACCACCACTGCTGGGCGCCCCACCTGACGGCTCTAGAGGAAGCACCTATACCCCTGCCTGCCCGAGTTCCAGTGGGCACAGGGAGACAGAGCCCTGCCTGGCAGGGTGTCACCCCACACTCGCACCATCCTCCAGGCAGCATTTCCAGGGTAAAAGGCTCAACTCCAACTCTCTCTTCCTGGGCTCAGTGCACATGGGAGACCCTGGACAGGGCAAGCTCTGCGGCCTTTCCTGAGGCAGAGCCCTCACACCGACCTCCAATGTGAGGACAAGAACTGGGCAGGCAGCGGATGGCAGCACCAGGCACCCAGCTACCGTACCTGCCTGGGAGGGTCCCTGCATCTATCCCCTACTGGGGAAGGGCTTGTACCTTGGCACAGCTGCATGGCCTGCTGGGACCCTTGGTCGCTGCGGGGTCTCCTAGGGCCAGGGGCTGGGCAACCAGCGGCACCTGAGGGAGAAGGGGCAGGTCAGGCCTCGGCAGCAGCTGTCGCTGGTGGAGACCTGGGACGTAGGCAGGGTCCTGCTGTGCTCAGGCTAGGAGCATGCCCCCTAGGCCTCTATCCCTTCTAAATAATGAGGCTGGGCCCAGCCAGACTCTCATCCCACTCAGCATTTCTGGGTGGCTTTTCTGCCCTGCCTGACAGGCCAGGAGGACACGGGGACTGACCAAGGGAGGGGGCAGCAGGGCTCCTAAACACAGAAGCCCAGAGAGGAGGTGGGCGTCCCACCGAGGGGCACCTTCCAGGAGCAGCAGTGGTGAGCACAGCCTGTGCAAATGGGTGGGGATTTGGCAGCCGAGGAGTTCAGGGCTTGGGTGAAGGCAGAGAACCACGTGGAGTCCTGGGCCCAAGGGCCCCTGGGCAGGCTCAGGAGCCTGGACTTCCCCAGAGCAATTGGGGCCAGGAGGGGAAGGATGTGGCCGACACTGCTGCCACTGGGGCAGGGTGGAAGGTTGGGCAGGTGGGCTGTCCGGAGGGTACAGGGGCCAGGATCCACCTCAGGACCAGCCTGTCCGAGCAGTTTTGGGGCCAGCTGCCTGATGAAGTGCGGAGGACGGGGGCCTGTGCACACAAGGGGAACCCAGACCCGCAATTTTAAGCCCTCTGCCTCCAGGGATGCCCCGACCCTGACCTCACAGGTCCACGGGGCCCACCCAGGGCCCAGACACCCCCGACCAGTATACTTGGAGGCCTGGTGTGGGGTAGAGAAAGCCAGCCCCACCGGCAGTGCCTCCAGAGGACGTGGCTGCCAACAGGGCTGGGCCCTCTGGACGGCTCAAGCCATGTGCCCAACAGGCAGCCAGGCCGCCGGGACTGCAGAACCTGGGGGACCCGCAAGGGATGCCCACATGGTTTCCCAAAAGAGGTCCTGGTGACGACACAAGGCCGGGCCCACCTCTGCCCACGGGCATTGTCACGGTGTCCACAGAGCAGACTCGTGGGCTCGCAGAGAACGCCTTTCCTTGGGCCCCACTGCAGGCTTCCCTGAGGGGTGCACCCCACACCCCCAGGAACGGGGCTTCCTCTGTCCTCGGCTGGCCATGTCACATCATGTGGAGGCAAGGCCCCCTACCCAGTCCTTTCTGTGGCGGCTCCGCCGGGTACTCACCTCCCCCTGGCTACTTCCCTCATCTGACTCACAGTGCTCCACGCTCCACACAGGGGAAGCGACTTCCAGATCCTCTTTGGAACAAAGCCAGTAGCAGCCAAAACCAAATACCACTGAAGGCACAGAGCACAGCCCCGGCAAGGGGACAGGGTGTGCTCTCCGATGAGGAAGAGGAAGGCTGTGCTGAGGGCAGCTCTGCCGTGGCAGGGGGAGGGATCGCAAAGCCCACGCGTGAGGGGTTCGCCACTGCTTCCCACTGGACCCCGGCCCCTTTTCTTTCTGAAATTACCAGCCATGCCAGGTGTGCTAGGTGTGCCAAGGGTCTGGCTGTCCACATCTGGACCAGGGAGAAGGGGGTGCTCCATTTCTCTGAAGTGACCAGAACTTTGGTAGCTCTGAAGGGAGAGGCCCCTGGGGGGCCCTGGAGTGGTGTCACCTATGAGACAGATTTCAGGAGCTCAAGTGGCATGCCCCGCCCCAAATGCTTTGAGCAACTGGGGGAAATTTTTACCCGGCTGGGCCTGTCCACCACATCCCTCTGGCAGACTGATCCCCATCCTGCTCAGAGAAAGGGGGTCCCTGCACGTGCCTAAGGACAGCAGGCAGCAGGCGCTGCCCCCTCGGCCAACAGGCCTCCGTCTCTCCTGGCACGGACAGCAGAGCAGGGAAAGAATGGGTGGGCGACCCCTGTCCATTCGCCAGAACCAGACAGGACCTCAGCAAACAGTAACTAAATACCCTGCACCAGAGGAAGCCACAGTTTTGTTCTTGCAGGTTTTTGTTCTGCATCCCAGGATGACTACACCACCGACCACCAAGGCTTCCCAGAGGCTGGGCCGAGCTTAGAAGCATCCCCGCTGGGCTGAGCACAGGCTTCTTGGAGTAGGCGCTGGTTCAGACAGGAGAAACAAGCTAGAACAGACGGGGCAGGCCCTGCGGACACACGGCAGCCCAGGCCACACCAGAGGTGGGATGTGCCAGCTGCTTTGGGGGGTACCTGGGAGCAGCTGGGTCAGGGACACAGGTTTCAATGGCCAAGGAGCTAGAAGGGTCGTGGGCCCTGTGAGAACACAGCTCTCGTCTGCTGGGCCTGATGACCTGCTCCAGTGCCATGGGCCAAGTCCTGAGGCTTGTGTGTGTCATATAAGCTTATGATGTCACTTGACCATGAAGGATCCAGCAGCTCCCACAGCTCCCATCTGCAGTGCAGGAAGACACCTGTACTGTGGTTTGCGAAGGCCCCTGAAGCAGCACCCAGCCAGGCCCCTGGGGCCACTTCCTCATCCCTGGCTACAGAAAACACAGGGCTTCTCCTTGCTGGCAGCTGCCTGCGGGACCCTCCGTAATGTCAGATGTTAGCTGGTGGGACAGTTTCTGCCCCCGCTGGAGAAGCACTTAGGAGACAGTTTCCTAAGACTCCAGCTCAGCAAGGTCTAGGTTCTCATGAAGTAAAGCAAGCCTCCCACAGCAACAACTGATGGTTTCAATGTTTTTCCTTTAATTTGGATGTACAATGTTTGCAGCAGTTAAAAAAATTAAATATACATCTCTCGCCAGTCCTTCCCTTTGCTCTCAGAAGCAGTCAGGTCTGGGTGGGGCTCCGGGACTCGCCCATCACAGCCCTGCTGGCTCCAGGGGAGCTCAGGCTCAGCTGACAGCCCCTCTGACCACAGCGCAAAGCAATGAGACCTGGACAAGGAGGCCCCACGTGGGTCAGAGCCCACCCTCCGTAGGCAGGTCCACGTTGGCCACGATCCTCCAAGGCTGGCAATCACCACCCAGATTGCAGCGGGAGACTCTGCTTTTGGAAACAACTGAGGGGAAGGCGTTCCTTTGACTGCACCAGAGCGTGACAGGCACACGGGGGAAGAGTGGCCTCTGAACCTTCCAGGTTGCCTTCAGTTGTCATGCGGCGCTCTGAGCGGCTCCCTCCTTCCCAGGAGGCCCAGGCCTGGCGAGTGAGTGTCCTCTTCTCGCCTGGACCATCCTGAGCTCTCCAGGGTGCCTCGGCAGCTCTCAAGATCTTCCTTCTTCTCGCTCCCACAGGTGGCCCCTCCGGAGCACAGCTCCAAGCCTACCCTGGCCAGCAGCTGTGGTCCTGGGTCCTCCCCGCAGAGGGAGGAAGTGGGGAGGGACAAAGCCGGGTGAGGATGTCTGCCGGGCAGGATGCTCACAGGTAGCAGGAGCAGGCTGACTCCACCCCGCAGACACACAGAACTAACCTCACTCCGCCCCTCAGGGGGAGGAACTTCCACCTGCCAGGCAGCCACAGACCGAGTTATTGCTGTTTACTATCCGTCCCGAGCTCCGTGCGGGGCTCAGCTCAGCTCCAAGAGGACGAGCTGTTCATCGGCTCCGAGGGCTCTGGAATGACCCCTCCATGAAGGTGGGGGCGAGGGGTGTCCTTTAGGGCACAGGGCCTTCTCAGATGCTACATTCTGGGTGTCTGGAGGGGTTTCAGCTTCACATTTTCCTCCTGAAAGGACACATGTGCTGGCAGAAATGGGGGTGGACAGTAACAAAGAGCACTTGGCAGCCGGAAACGTCACCTACACAGACTCAGCTGGGCCCGCAGCGGAAGGGAGGCACGTTTTGGGAAAGAAACGCGCTTCAGTGCATTGCCAAACAATTCTACCCTGGTTTCATTAAAGTCTTTCCTGATATTACCAGCAGCAAAACAAAAGCAGTCTCCCCACAGCTCACCCCCAAAACTTGACAACCAAATTAATCACATTTTCAACAAAATTTGGATAATATGATTGGTGCTTGCCATAGGTTTTTAGGAACGCGACAAAGTCTTCCTCCCTTCGGCAGAGTCGATACGGAGACCGTTTTCTCCGGTGGGATCCTAGTGAGCCATGAAGGAGCCCTGCTCTGACCAAGCCCCGCGCCTGGACGCCCGTCACACAGCTAACTTTACCTGGCAGGTCTGAGGAAAGTCAACTTCCAGGAAGAACCGACACGGGCACTCTTGGAGGCCATGCATCTCTGTCTTGAGATGTGCGTGTATAAAACTACAGATGTGTCCATATGCACGTGCACGTGTACTTGACTTACGCATGGGTAAAGTCATTTTACTAATGAGCTCATATTCATCTCTGGAGCACACAGGCAGGCCTTTGGGAGTGGGGGACACCCACTGCCAGAGCGGGGTGTTCTGAGCCCCTTGCTAAGGACTGTTTTAGATCACGTCGTAAACAAAAGGAAGACAAACTCTGTGTTGAGCCCAGCGATATGCATTCCAAGGGGAATGGCTCCGTTTTACATTCACAGTGTTATTTCTTACAAATGTAAACATCTAGCAGGAACAACATCTGGCCTGTGATACTTCTGTCTCCGAGCTGTTGACATAACCTGCAGGGGAGGTGGGTGGGGAGCAGCAACGGTTCTGAGAACTTTCCCCTCATTCCCAAACCTTCTAGCAGGCTTTCCAGGAAGAAGCTAGGATGAGAAACAGGAGCCCCCAACCAATACGGAAGAATGGTGGTTTTCTTGTTAAAATTCAGTAGCTTCCCTTAAGGGCCTCCTCAAACATCAGACCCCTTTCTACCGCTCCTGCTGCCCTGCCACGAGGACGAGGTGGTCCTGGCTGGGGGAGGCCTCTGTTGGGAGCTGGTGGGAAAAGCCTCATACAGGCCTGTCAAAGGCTGCTCAGAGGAGGGGCTCCCTTTGAGCAGGGGCTCCCTTTCAGCGCCCCCTCATGTATGTGGGCAGCACACAAGTCCACATGTCAGCTGCTCCTCAGCTGCCACATAGGAGAGGGACAGGTGGAAGCTTGAGGGTCTCAAGGCAGCACCTGCACAGACTCCAGAAAAGCATTTCCTCCACTTACCATATTCAATACCCAAAACATCAACGGGCAATGACCAAACCAAGCCACATGACAGTCGCCAACCTCGCCTGGCTCGCCTCAAGGGCTGAGGAAGCAGAGCTCCTGCCCCATCTCAGAGCTCCCAAATCCAGCTCCTATGTCAGCAGCAGCCGGCCATCCAGAATCCACTTCCATTTTAATGACTTGGCTCCTCTGGGCCTGCAAACAGGAGGCTGGTCCAGGGACCTGGCCTGGGGTTAGGAGTGGCGGCTCTGACAGGGCAGTGGGGCAGTCTCCAATGAGCACAGATCTGCACTCTTCTGACTAAAAGGGGTCCCCGTGCAAGATGTCAGCTGGAACGGGGGCAGAAGGGATGCCAGGCTCTGTCACTAACAGTGCCAAGATGCCAAGCTTTGCTGTTGACCAAGAGAGGCTCAGACAAAACACAGCTCAGTGACACCCTTGGGGCATGCATCCATGGAACGGCAGATCCCAACGCCGGCCAACCAGCTCCTGGGCAGACACCGCCCCAGGGCTAGCAAGGAACAGGAGTGGGAGGCCCATGTCTCCGGACACAGCGGAGGCTGCTCACAGCCAGGGAGGGCTGGCCTTCTCAGCTGATAGGGAGGCTGCTGTCCCTAATGTGGGTGGAGAACAACAGTTGTCTGTGCCCAAGAAGAAGGGGCTGCAGGCGAGCACGCCCCTAGGACAGTGGGGGCCTGTCCTTAGTCCTGCTGTGGCCACCTGCACACTAACGCCTCTCTACATCCCAGTCACCTTGTGAATGCATAAACAGGAACATGTACAACGGAAATGTCAGCGGGTGCTCAGGAAGGCTATGCCAGTGGCTACAGGAGAGGGAGCGTGGCCAGGGGCGCTGCCCACCTCCCCGAACACTGTCGCATGCAGCACAGGCCTTGCAATTCACATACTTTACACGGGCATAGAAAGAGTTACGTTAAAATTAATCTCTTTACTGATATAATTAAATTTTAAATCCTGAGAAGAAAAGAGAGAAGGGAGAATGGTGCTGGGTGTCTAGCACCCCCAGCCACTGGCCCAGCACATGCCATGGCATCTGTGCATACAGACACAGGGCGTGGCATGCACACCCCACCAGGAAGACACAGGCCAGTGTTCCCAAAGCCTGCTCATGGCACCTTCTACTGCAGGACAGCAGAGGGGCCAACAGCCAGCCTGCAGGAGGGAGGACTTCCGGCCCAGATGCAAGAGCAGCTGCAGCCTGGCAACACCCAACAGGTGAGTATCAGGAGAAAGGACCTGGTCACCCACATGGCGTGCAGCACAGCTGCTCCTGCTCTCCGGAAGGCCTCAGGCTCAGCCCCACCGGGACTGCAGATACTCCTTGCCTGGCCACTGTACCACAAAGAGCACTTCTGCCATATGGCAGAGACACGCACGTTGCCTGGCCGCCCGCGGCATGTGCGGAAGCCCACAGGGACCAAGCTGGCTCGGCGGAGGCAGGGCACAGGGCGCGGATTTCTGGAGGCTCCAGCCCCAGCTGCCGCCTCACAGTCTCTCCCACCATGGCGCTCAGCAGGTGGTGACCTTGTGGACATTTCGTAAACAAGTCAGCAGCCGGTGATATGGGCTTCCTGGAGCTGCAACCACCTCAAACACAGACTGGAAGGCCCTGCGGTCGAGCTCCTCCTCTATCTGGTGTCTGTAAAAGTCTGTGGCAACCAGGCAGAAAAGGTTGACGTCCACCTGCTCCAGCTTTCCCATCCTGCTGATGACATGTGGGAGGCTGGTGCAGGAGTTAAGGAAAAAGGCCGGCAAATGAGGGGAATGCTGCCCCCCTGTCCTCACCTGGGAGCTCCTCTCCTGAAACAGCCTACGAAGGGGCCCAGGGAGCCTGGAGAGCCAGCAGAGCCCTGGAAGGGCTACCTGGATGGCTCCAGCTGCAGCAGCGCCTCCACCTTCATTCCTGCAACCCTTGGCTGGCTGGACACCCTGCTGGAAGGCCAGCAGGGCAGAAGTGAGCTGGGCAGAGCTGGCCAAGGAAGCAGGAGGCCTGCAGGCAGGCACCCACTCGGCAGCACTCACCTGGCCTGGCTCCTGTGCAGCGCTGGTGGCCGATGCTCCTGCTGTCCTGCTGGCCCCCACGAGCCCTGCTCCAGTACAGTGCGGGCAGAGCCACGCCAGGCACACTGGGCGAGGCTGTGCTGTCAGCACCAGGACAACCGTGCTGCTTGGAGGCTCTTGTGGTCTGTCTTGGGGGAGGGCTGTGGAAAGGGAAACTCCTGGCAGC